TCTTAGCCAACAAGATCTTCTGAAGCGTGGCAGGCCCTGTGCTAAACAGCAAAAAACAAATATGACCCTCAGTAATCATGGAGGACCCTGAGGAGTAACTCTAGGTACCAACCAAGTGAGTTCTCTGTCTTTTCTTAATCAATAAATCAAGTAAAATTTTATCTTTCTCAAAGATCACTGATGTAGTTGACAGCTGAGAGGTTTTGTTGGTTTAGAAGGGCAACCTCACCAAACAAATTTCAATAAGCTACAAATGAACAAAATTCTCTCTCACATTGCCTTTTATCATCTTAAAGATACTTTTCATTATGCAAAAATATCTGTCACAGTCATTCTCGTATAAATATGTTGCTGTTTAAAACGTATGTTTTTTATAAACCCAAAGAATTCTTGTGAGTTCCAGTGAGCTGAATTGAAGGATGCACCTTAAACAGGTCAGATACACCCCTCTCAATTCCCTGGTCCTAATTTTTTTTCCCCCAAACTTAACTTTGTCCCCTGTTCTGCCAATACCTCAAACAGGTCTAAGAAACATCGGACATTTCCATACTACAAACACCGGACAGGAGTAAAGAGACCAACTACCCCAGGATGTGACAAGCACCCAGCTTTCTCAGGTCCCCCCATAAGATGATGCCCACAAATAAGGCTTGAGGAGCCACTGTCCCAATTCTTTAACCTGTTGTGCCAAACTTCCCACCTTTTTAGTATAAGAGGTGGGAATGTTATGACCTGCTACAGACTTCTTTTTTCCCTTTAAGAGACAAGCCCTACCCATTCACCCCTTCTGCAGAAGCAAGGGGATCTTCTTTCTGCTTCAACCCTGCACTCTCTCTCTGTCTAGTCTCTCTTAAGAAGAGGTGGCTGAGGCCTCTTCTCCTCTCACTCCCCTCCCCCCACTCATCTCTCCCGCATTCCCTCTCTCCCCCTTCCCTTTCCTTTCATAACCCACTGAATAAACTTTAAATAAATTATACCCAAACCCTCTCTCTGCATGGCGTACCTATCAGTCTCTGTCTCTTACCCATCACTGCTCACTCCTCGTGGGGCTGGCTGCCTTACCGAGGTCTCTCACCCACCATCTCCCACCACCTGGGACGCACAGAGGCCTCAGGTGGTGGGACCTGGCTGCCCCTCATGGCTCACTGCCCACCCCTCAAGGAACTGTGCCATTTTAACTAAATCGTTACAGAGATATGATGAACAGAGAGCTTATTAGGATAAGAAGTGTACTCATTACCTTAGTAAAACATGGTTGCCAGCCATGTGGCTACCTTCATCATGATGAGTTCACCAGCCAAGATGGAGGACAGCCACATGGTTGTTGTTTAAAACTTGTTTTTCTCAACAATAGTTACATGTACATGTATGCACAGTTGAATCCAAGTTATATACACATAGACACAGAGTTAAATCTAGCTTATGTTCACACATATAGAGTCAAATCCAAGTCATATATGTATACACATGTACATACATATGTACATCTTAAATAGGAGTTGAATAAATTAAAAGAAAGGAAAAACTGGTGGGCACTGAGCAAGACGAAGCTGACTTTCTTGGGGTTTTTTGGGTTTTTTTTTTTTTTTTTGCCTACTACTCTATGCGGATCTACGGTGGACGGTGGGAGACTGTGTGTGGGGGGGTTGTTCTGCAGGCCGCCGGGCGGCGCTGAACTCCGGTCCTCGGGCGGAGCGGTTGGGCGCTCTGCCCCCTGAGCCGTCTCTCTCTCCCTCCGGCTTGAAGCTGACTTTTTCATCTCTGACTCCCTACTGGACATTTAGAGAGGGAGAGCAGACAAAAACAAGCAGGTTTGGGAGCAAAGAAAAAGAAAGTGGAGAATTCTTTCTCGACTGCCTTATTCAAGGAATACTGAGGGCAGTCTTAACATCCAGGGGAATGGTCAGAGGCAGGCAGCCCAGTCAGAGACCCAACTGCCAGTGGAGAATGAAAGGAAAGCCTTCAGTAAATGATAAAGTAGATTTGCTGCTGGTAGATGGGAGTGGCTCTGTAGTGGGTGGAGCACACTGGTAGAGTCTCCTGGGTGCCTTGGCGGAGCCCACCAAGGCAACCTACTAAACAAACGTGCCACACACAACAGTGTTAGTACAAGAGGAAATTAGAGACAAAGAAAGGAGTAAAAGGCAAGAGAACAGGCAAAGAGAACAAGACCACCAGGCAGGCATTTTCAAAGGATACACATGTTGCATAACTGATGGCAGAAAAAGGGATCTAGTTACATGCAACAGCTTTGGCCGCACAGGCCAGCTGCTGCTGCAGAAATTAACATTGGAATTCTTTGATGAAAAGAAGCAGAGTTAGACTTCTAGAACCCCAGGGGTTTTTGTTTGTTTATTTGTTTTGTTTCTTTTTGTCTATTTGAGATAGTTTATTTATTGAAAGAGGAAAGTACAGCTTAATAGCCTTCATAGCTGAGTAGAGGAACAGGGAGACATAACAGAGAGAGGATTTGGAGCAAAGATAAGATAAAGCTTGAAGACAGAGTATCCTTTTCCATCTCTCGGATCACTGGCAAAATGTTGCAAACTTTCCGTAAAATGTCAGGATATAGGGTGCTGGGAACGGGCCATTTGGATTGGTATCTAAGGGGTATTTGGGCCAAGGCATCCCAGAATAGAGAATGGGCTTGTGTTGCTTAGGTATAGTCCTCATGAATGAGGCAGGGAAAAAAAAAAAAACACAAAACCGAGATCCAAAGGCCTTGAATTTTTCAGCAAGGATTGATTTTGAGAAGGCACGGGCTGCTCAGGGATTCCTCAAACACAGATCAGGGGCCAGGGCTCTGAGCCCAAGAGCACATGCATTGTCTGATACCAAAATCAAGGACGAGAGATGATCGATTAAGAAAGCACAGGCTGGCCAGTGGGTCATCACCCAAAGGCTGTGGGGTGCTGAGCTCTGAGAGAGTTGTGGTTGCCTGATATCAGGACTTGTGCAAGAGGCTACAAACAATGATCGAGAGACGTGTCCTCACTTGTGGGGAATGGACAGAGAAAGGGGACTCATCAGTCATGCCGTCGTTGGATGAAGGGGCCCAGAGATTAGTTGGAGAAGCGAGGCTGTCATAAGTGGACAGTGTTGTAGGGTCCTGGTGTGACCCAGACTGCCTGCAGGCAGGAGGAAGCACCAGGAGAGCCTGTGGCGGTAAAGGCATCAATGTTATAATTTGAATAATGGTGGGAGATTGAGAGAGATGCCATCATACTATACAGGGCTGACATGGAGGGGTTATTATGGGAGGGAGGGAATGGGAAGGCAGGGGAGACTGGTCTCTGCATAGGGGAGCAGCAGACGAGGAGAGAGAAGTATGAACAGAACTAGTTTTTAAAGGGGCTTAACACGAGCATATAGAGACTTACACCCCACACAGCACATGCATATAGATTATGTAGTGACATACAGTCATAAGACCTTGGGTCGATCAAGTATTCACCTGAATACTGACAACACATGAAAGACCCTAGGAAGCTGGGGTTGTCTAGGTGATGCTGGAAATGCTAGCACTAATAGCTTTGTTTGTCTCAATGGCTTCCTAGTGTCTGATTCTGTTCACTGCAACTCTCTGACAAGCAATGCCTGTATTTGAATTGCCTTTGTACTTACAACAAATCTGCGTCAAATGTATTTGCTAAAAGACTAAGTAATAAACTTTACAATATCAACTTTTTAGAAAAATAAACTTTATTCAAACTAATTACATTTTTTAAGGGAGATTTTCTTCCCTAGTTTTACCTTGATTTCTGCAAATTTCATAAGTAATGGCATTTCTCAGGTATGTATCCTCCATGCAAGCTATTAAGAAATCAACAAACCCAAATAAACAAGTTTTAAAATAGTTTTACTGACAGAACAGTTCCAAAATCAAATAAATAGGAGTAAAATGTTCTTCTTTATATGTGACTCCTTATTAACTTTAGTTTGATTTAATGTTATTGTAGAGTATGTATTTATGATTAGAGTTATTAAGACTCTATTTAAATTTTATTTCAATATTTTAAAATATTTAAAATATTATTTTAAATTCTGATATAGATTTAGCATTGAAAATAAACTGCCTACATTCAGTTAAAAATCTCTGTAAAAAATTAACCAAGGTATCAAATTCCTATCATCAAAATATTGCCATGCTCTGCAATGATCAGTGAAAAAAGGCATGATGAGTGTTAATGATCAGTGCACTAGAATTTTAAGAAATCAGGAGATACTTAATGCAGACCATCGCCATGGTGATTCAAAGTCCTCAAGGCACACAGATGCACTTACAATAGGAGTCTGGAGTGGTCTGATGGAAAACATCTCTGAACCAAGAAATTGCAATCCCCTTCAACTACTCTTCGCTAAAATCATGGAGATTTCAGAGCTCCTTGGTAGTCCTTTGAATCTTCCCCTTCCTGGAAGACAAAGAAATATTTCCCTTTAGAATTCTTGGACTCCTTGCGTAGTGTATGTGTCCTCTGACTCGGTTAAACCTTCCTCAGAACTATTGGTTTACAATGCCTACTTCCATCTCTAACTCAGGTTTGGCAGATTAGTGTTTAAATGGTTCTCAGAATTGAATATCCACATGCAGAATATTGAAACTTCACCCTTGTCTATCAATCTATACAAAAATGATCAAAATCCTTGAGGTAATAGCTTTAGCCGCAAGAGAAAAATCAAGCTCTTCCTGGCATTGGCACAGGTAACAATTTCCTGGATAATACTCCAAAAGCAGAAGAAACAAGAGCAAAAATGGAAAATTTGTTTAAATCAGATTTTCAAACTGACATGAATTGCATAGTTAACATCTGGAATATATAAATAACTCAAAATGATGCAATGCAAATAAAAATATGCAAATGATATTCATGGACAATTCTCAAAGGAAGAAATACAAATACCTAATAAATATTTGAGAATTATTCCATAATATTACCAGAAAAGCAAAAATTGACAAATGCTGTTATAGATAAAGTTAAAAAAAATGCTTACAGAGGTCCTGCAAGGCGGTCTCAGAAGTGGGACCGTTCCTCTCCATCTTCGCTGAATCTTTCAGGTCCACGGACTGAGGAAACGTCTCCACCATCATGGGAGGCGGAGACCTGAACCTGAAGAAGAGCTGGCACCCACAGACCCTTCGAAATGTGGAGAAAGCGTGGAAGACAGAGCAGAAACATGAGGCCGAACGGAAGAAGATTGAGGAGCCGCAGCGGGAGCTCAGGGAAGAGAGAGCTCAGGAAGAGATGCAGCTCTACGCTGAGGATGTTGGGGCTGTCAAGAAGAAAGAAGAAAAGTTGGATTGGATGTACCAGGGACCTGGTGGGATGGTGAACCGTGATGAGTACCTGCTGGGTCGCCCCATTGACAAGTATGTTTTTGAGAAGATGGAGGAGAAGGAAGCAGGCTGTTCTTCTGAGACAGGACTCCTCCCAGGCTCTATCTTTGCCCCTTCGGGTGCCAATTCCCTTCTTGACATGGCCAGCAAAATCTGGGAAGATCCTCTCTTCATCATCAGGAAGAAAGAGGAGGAGAAAAAAAGAGAGGTACTGAACAATCCTGTGAAAATGAAGAAAATCAAAGAGTTGTTGCAAATGAGTCTGGAAAAAAAGGAGAAGAAGAAAAAGAAGGAGAAGAAAAAGAAGCACAAGAAACACAAACATAGAAGCTCCAGTAGTGATCGCTCCAGCAGCGAGGATGAGCACAGTCAGGGCAGATCGCAAAAGAAGATGGCAAATTCCTTTCCTGTTTTGTCCAAAGTCCCCGGATATGGCTTACAGGTGAGGGACTCTGACCGTGACCAGGGGCTGCAGGGCTCTGTGATGGCTGAGCAGAGGGGGATGAAGAACCATTTCCCCCCCCCCCCCCCGCTCAAGAAGCTCCTCCCACTCCTCCCCAGACATGTCAGCAGGAAGAGCTCCAAGGAAGAGAGGTCCCGGGACAGGAGGTCTCGATCCCCAAGGCCCAGCATACCGCATGCCTCTAAGGTAAACAGGAAAGAGAGAGATAGCCCATCACCTAAAAAGGAGGTCTACCAGAGGTGGCATGCTTCCGGATACACCAGAAAACTCTCAGCAGAGGAACTAGAGCGGAAATGGCAGGAGATGATGGAAAATGCTAAGTAGAGGGAGGAGGAGAGGCTCAACACTCTCAAGAAACACTCCAAGGAAGACGAACAGGAGCGCAGACTGGAGAAGCTAGACTCTCACTCTGGCAAGTTCATCCAGCGCATGAAGCTGGAAAGTGCATCTACTTCCTCCCTGGAGGACCGGGTGAAGCGCAACATCCATTCTCTGCAGCGAACGTCAGTAGCTCTGGAGAAGAACTTCATGAGAAGATGAAAACCAGGTTCTCTTACTGGTTTTCCTGAATTCTCCAGGGAGGCTGCTGATTCCTAAAATTCTCTTTATAAGAGTTCAAATAGCTTCTTCTACAGATGAAAACCACCACTGTTCAAAGTGTCCCTTGCCCATTGTCTCCTGAAACATGGTACATTTTTTAAAAACCAATGTGACTTGATTTGGGGACCCTCGGGGACATTGGCTGGATGCACTGTGGGCTTTGACTGTGTTTTAATGGATGGGCTCTGGGCTGTCCTGGAAAGCTTGGCTGTTTGTCACACCTCTTCCCTCCCACCTGAACCAATGGATCAGACCGTCCAGAGACCTCTCTCCACGGCCACCCAGATAGATAGACTCTGCGTATTGGGATGAATGAGCATTGACCTTAGTTAGATTTTATGACAGAATAGCTAAGTGTCAGGAAGAGCTTGGAAGATAAGACAGTACCCCCCAAAAGTCCTATATTTGCTCTTTGAGATGTACTAGTATAATGTGTATATGTACAAATGTATCATTTTATACAGGCTTTTAAAAAAGCTAGCTTTGTGAGAACGTTTTGTTTGATGATTTTCCGATGTGGAAGCCACCCTGAACCCTGTCAGGAAGTAACATGGTAAGGGGCGTGACTTGCTTTTCTCTCTGCTTCTGGTGTGGGAGGAGCTTTGGGGTTAGTGGCAGAATCTAGCTGGGGTAGCTAGCCTTTGACATTTGGAGGTAACTTTGTCCTCTACACATGTGTTAGGTTGCATTCATAGCTATATGCTGGCTTCAGGAAGGACACATCTGCCAAGTATGTGTGCCCTTTTGTTCCTTAGGGTTTCATATTGGGCAGCCAGTGGTGCAGGGAACAGGACCATATTGCCAGGGTGCTCGTGGAAGCTGTTGGTGGTGGTTCTGTTTGTTTGATTTGAGGCAGGGTCTCTCTCTCTCTCTCTCTCTCTCTCTCTCTCTCTCTCTCTCTCTCT